TACTCTAGCTACGCCGCTGAGGTTGGGTTTGTTATCTCCTCAATCTCTGGTGAACTTCAAACAAGGGCCCTCTCTCCCCTCCCAAGTAGTACCTGGATATGCATCAATTGTTAGATCGTAAACGTCTTTTCCCACCCCAAAAGCTAGCCAATGAGGTGAGGGGATCCCCCACTTATATATTAGGTCCATTGCCCTTCCACAACCAATGTAGAACTATTCAACAATCTCCCACTTTATACATTGGTGTCCCTTAGCCATTCACCGCCCCTTCACCGTTTCCCCACGGTCTCTCAGCCATAGTGGCCCCGCAGGCAATCACGGTCCATCAGGCCTTCACACACTTTGTCCCTCAGGTCAGAGATGTTGAACTAGCCAGGCTTTGAAAGCAATTGTTGGATCGTAAAGGGCTTTTCCCACCCCAAAAGCTAGACAATAATATGAGCAGTTCCCCCACTTATATATTAGGTCCCTTGCCCTTCCACAACCAATGTGGGACTATTCAAAAATAACCTCCAAATCATGGAGGCCCTAATTGAGTAAAGCTCCTAGGTGTATTCTTCTGCTCAGTCGTGACGTCAACATTATGGCTGTCGTCCCCGGTAGGGGTGAAAAAAGGGCGGGTATTTTCCGCCAGCCCGCCCAGCCACATTATTTCGGGACAATTTGGGTATCCGGGAATTTTCACGGATATCGGGCCCCAATACGGGTCTTTTTTGGCGGATATGAGATCAGACTCGGGAAGGTAGTATCCGACGGATACGGATTATCCGGTAAAAAATTCGGATATTACCCACATTATGTTTTTGTGATGCACTTTCTAGTACTATGTATTGGTTCTAATATGATGTGTTGTACTCTATTTATTTCCTAAGTCCTAATGGCTTAATATAATCGTATTATAGATATATGGAATTGTTAAATGGTCATTATCTAGTGATATATAAGATTGTTGCTTCGACTTGATATTCGAATAAATATTCGTAACCGATAGTATACGTATCCATTTTGGTACGTAATTTTTGCTTGACATTATCCGAGTTTGTATCCGCATTCGGCACTATCCGTGTCCAACCCATTTCCGATTATAAAATAAAGGTTAGGATATGGGAATGGTTAGATCCGACCGAACCCGACCTGTTTTCATCCCTAGTCCCCGATCCTGCCTCAAAATTCATAACACCAATAACTTGAGCACCGATCGAAAGCTTTGAAAGTATTATGCAACCCCTGTGCTACATCCGTAGTCCAGAGGGGTTGCATAATGTCTACGAAAGTAGAGACATAAGATATGGGGTGAGACTCTCTTCTCATTCATTCCTCTATTCTCCTCAAGCACAAGTGTATACAATGAGTATCCTCCCTCCTTCTTATATAGCCGTATGTTATATATGGAAGGTTTCGGTACGGACCCAATTAATGTATATGGGCTGGGACTTTATGGGCCTAGGCCCATAAGTTCCTTAACAGAAAGCATTTTGAAAGTATTTTCTGGTATGGCAAGTTTTAAAATCAAACTAAACAACCCGGGCTTAACTTGCGGCCAATCTGGGACAGCCACGTGTCCTGCTCTTCAAAATTTTTCTTTTAATTAAGGTTTCCGACCTCACATCTTTCGTTTTTCACGCGCACGTACGCTTCATAAACTGGTAAAATGTGTGTTTTTATACAAAAGTTGTAAAAAATATATTAATCTATTTTTCAAATTATTTTGGCTAGTACTTAATAAATCATTAATAAATCATGAGTTAATTCGTCGCTCCGTTCTGTGAAGTACACTTCACTCAACCACACCACCCAAACGCAATTTCTTCCGACACCGTCCGATAATAACGAGGTTGTAAATTAAGTGTTCGAGTTTTTATGGTCGTGTGCAGAAGCGAAGACGGAATGTTGTACCCACATGTAAATGTTACTAACAAATAATGATCAGCTGTCACGTCTCGACATATACAAAATTTGAATCAAAGGGTGTACTTGTGTTGACGTTTATTCAGCACGTATATAGTGATGACTCTCCTTTATTTGCTTGAACTTTGAATCAAGACATACTTGTTTATTGAAAAAAAACTAATAACATATTTTTATTATTAAAATGGGACGCAGTTTAATATTTGTCAGCTTTTTTGTCATGTTTCTTGTGAAGGATATCTTTCAAATAAGACCAAGTGTACTATCAGGTAAAAAACAAGTCTAAGTATTTTCACAGTTTTTTTTTGTTTAGTGTAAATGTGTTGCTAGTATAAGAGTACTAATCTTCAATTTCTGAACATAGGAAAACAAAAACAACATTCAATTAAGGCCGAGTTCTTTCCCAACTTCTTTTTAAGAGAACACAGCAGGAGAGGCCCCCGCTGTTAGAATAACTTTATTAAGAAAACAAGAACAAAGTTACAACCTATTAATCCAACTTATGATTACATCGTGATATCTCGCAGAAATTCTAAACAACAGAAGGAAGAGGTCACCCTTTAAGAGTTGCCTCCAAGTGATGAAAGAAGGGGTCTTTTGCTCGAAAATGAACCCATTTCTTTGCTTCCATATATGCCAAGCAGCATAAAGGAATTTCTCCATAAAACAGCTCCCCTGATAATCCAATTTGGCCCTTATAAACATCATTGCTTCCAAAAAGAGAGTAGTATCCCAAGTAATGCCTAGAAGACTCCAACAATTTTGGGCAAACGGGCATAAAAAGAACAGACGCATGAGGTCTTCAACAGCTGCCGATTGACAAAGAACACAAGAAAGATCACAATCCGGAGGAGCACAATTCTTATGATCTAGCATGAACTTGGTGTTTAATCTATTCATCATGAGTAGCTACCCAAAAACCTCACATCTCTCGTTTTCCACGCGCACGCTTTTCAAACTGCTAAACGGTGTGTATTTTTTGCAAATTCTATACAAAAGTTGCTTTAAAAATCATATCAATCCAATTTTCAAAAAAACTAGTAATATTTAATTAATCATAAAAAAATGTGTCGTTCCGTTTTACGTGAAGTTCGTGAGAGGGGAGTTCCCAACCTGACCTCCAGAACACAGCCTAATTAAGTGGTATGCTCCATTCCATTTTGAAAAAGGAAATCTCAGAAAATTTGTTCTCTATATTAATAAAGCTGATGAAAGAAAAAGAGGACATGGACAAACATTTGAACACCGCGCATGTGCTTCCTGCTGGAGTTGCTTCCTTGGTTTAGAAAATCCTCGCACATAATGCCCCTTGTGACATGGATTAATTATCATATTTTCTCTCTCCAAAATTAATTTAGTATTCGATGTGACTTATCCTAGTTCTATGAATCTGGATATAAATCTGGATAGTACAATACCTCTTTCGTTCCTAAATAATTAATTTGATCTAGTAATGTGACACATCCTAATGCTTCATAATTAGCTTAAACGGAGGGAGCGGAGCAAATTAAAGCAGCTTCTTCGACACTGCCCTCAACCTTGCAAGCTTTGGCCACCAACCCTGATATGGATGGCGTGCGCCAATCTGCACATTGTAGCAGCAGACAATGAAGCACAGTCCTGACCGAAGCCTGAGTTCTCTTGGCCATCGTGTGCATCTCGACCAGTAATGGAGCACATGTACATTCTCGGTTGTGTCTCGGCATGGTGATAAACATTAATATGGTAACAGTAACAATAGCATCTAAAAACATGTTTAACACCGAAATAAGAATAGTGGTATACCCAGAAAATGTTCTGGTACTAGATGAGGCATTGTTGGTATTGTTGCCTCCGTTGATCTAGTCGTTTTCGTCTCCACCAGTACCGCCGCCGCTGCCTCCACCAGTGTCGACGCAGATTGACATGTTGATGTAGACGAAAAAGATAATGCAGTGCTAAGAGCAATCACGTGAAGAACACGCTCCCAAAAACTTGATCGCCTACCTACCCATGTAGGTTCTCAGGAGGAGGGAGTTCTGGAGACCTTCTCGTCCCGAGTACCCGTGCGCGCAGGTGCTCAGAAACAAGGAAACCAAAGCAGCACAGGAACAGAAGGGTGGAAGGTGTACCGAGAGAGGAGAGGAGCCAGAGAAGGATGAACAAAAGAAAAGTGTTCTTATCTCTGTCTATCCCGGTGATGGGAGGTTATGATATTTCCGTTCCGTAATGGCTCTCTATCCTGGTGATGGGAGGTTAACGCGCACAAGGGAGAGGTGTACCGAGAGAGGAGAGGAGCCAGAGAAGGATGAATAGAAGAAAAGTGTTCTTATCTCTGTCTATCCCGGTGATGGGAGGTTACGTGAGATCCTTTCCGTAATGGCTCTCTATCCTGGTGATGGGAGGTTAGCGCGCACAAGAGAGATGAGTGATTTGTAATGGCTCTCTATCCCGGTGATGGGAGGTTAACTCGGTGATGGGAGGTTACGTGAGATCCTTTCCGTAATGGCTCTCTATCCTGGTGATGGGAGGTTAGCGCGCACAAGAGAGATGAGTGATTTGTAATGGCTCTCTATCCCGGTGATGGGAGGTTAACGAGCACTAGAGAGACGTTCTGTAATGGCTCTTCGTCAGTTACGTTGTCTTTAATCACCAAAATAGTTACGTTGTCTTTAATCACCAAAATGTAACGTCCGAAAGGGGGGAGGAGAGCAGCCAGCCATGTCTCATCCCATCCGGCCGTCACTTGCCAGCCAACTCAGCTCGGCGCATGTGCGCTCGTGTGGCAGTCCCACCGCCACCGCAACAGCTTAACAGGTGCTATCATTTAGCAGCCTACTGATAGCAGCCTATTTAAGTAGAGGCCCCTGCACATTGGTTTCCAAGGTGGTATTAATCTCTTAACATTAATTATGGACCTATGGAATTTACGAGGATTATTAAATTGGGCATAACACATTTAATTCGAACAATCCAAATTTTAGGGTTCACAGGAAATTATCTCAGTTGTGCATCTGTTTGTTATACCAATGTTTCGGTAGATACTGTTAAGTTTGAACTTCCATCTAAAAAAGGAGATACACCTGAGTTATTATTGTTAAAAGGCCAGCAACTAAGGAAAGTAACAAATCATATCCTTTGATTAAATTTTTAGATCGAGCACAAGAAATATGTGAATCAGTAATCCGTAAAAATAAAAAAGAAAGACAGTATATTTGTATAGGGCACTTTTATCGAACAGTGTCAACATGTCATAATTAAGATTATTATTGTTTCTATTATATATTCTTCGAACGGCACGATGAAATGCACGTCGTCTTCTGGGAGAGATTAGCCAGGCTAGCTGACGGTAATCTCATCAAATCGTCACTCCACGGAAGGGAGGCTGACACTGGCCGCTCCCTGCAGCTGCTACCCCTCTGAAATTGTAAGCTCTGGTCCGGCCAAATGACATCCCGTAGCAGCTTGTCTTTGATGCTTTCCCGCTGGGACCAATGCTTAATGACGCATTAACCGTCGGATTAGAGCTTAGTCGTCCAGTCTTAGCAGCTTTCCTGTCCATCCTATCAACGAATATTGCCTTGTATGCCCTAGCAGGCATGCCAAGAAGAATCTGCGAGGAATTGGCAGTGTCGTCACTGTACGTCGACGACCACTCGTCGAACTCTGGAAGAATGGTTGCCGGCCACCTCATCGCCGGCGATGGCGCCGGCGCCGGCGGAGGTGGGCATGGGCTAGGCGGCTGGTTGATGAACTGCACGATGCTCTGCATGAGCCTCTTGCTGGTGGCGCGCAGCGGGCTGTAGAGGTGGAAGCCGTGGTCCTCGCCCTCCGACTCCACCACCGTCACGTCGCCGCGCATCCGGGACGCGAGGCGGCGGCCGCGGTCGCGCAGGGTGTCCCTCCCGGCCACGGCCATGAGCACGCGGCGGCAGGGCAGGGACGCGAGCTCGTCGTCGGCGGGGTCGATGCGGGGGTCGTCGTTGTCCGCCTGGCCGGCCGTCACGAACGGCCAGAGCCAGTCGACGCCGAACGCCGGGAACACCGACGCGCCGTCCCAGACCGTCTCGCACGGCAGCCTCTCGGGCCCCCAGAAGAATGGGTGCACCATGATCAGGCCCTGGATGCCGCCGCCGACGTTCTCGCGGCCGGCGCGTGCCACCGTGTGGTAGGCGATGTTGCCGCCGGCGCTGTCGCCGGCGACGAACGTCCGTCGCAGGTCGCCGTACTCCGCGAGCCACGGGTCGGACAGGGACTCCACCCACCGGAACGCCGCCCACGCGTCGTCGTACGCCGCGGGTATCGGGTGCTCCGGCGCGAGGCGGTACTCGACGGACACGACGAGCGCCCCGGCGCGCGACGCGAGTGAGCTGGCGTACCGGTGGTACGTCCGGCAGAAGGCGCTCTCCGTGCAGAACGAGCCGCCGTGGAAGTACAGCACCACGGGTAGCCTCCTGCCACCGCCGCCGCCGCCGGTGGCCGCGGAGGACGGGAGGAACAGCCGCGCGGACACGCCGTTGTCACGATCGACGACGACGTCCCTCGTCGCCACACCGACGCCGCCCCTGCCCCTGCCGGCGTCCTCCGACGCCGGCACGTAGGAGCTCGTCAGCAGCCGCTCGACGCGGCCGTCGGTGTACTTGCGGATGAACGGGTAGAGGTTCACGGCGACGTCGGCGGCGGTCTGCCCGTTCATTGCCGCCATTGCCTCCCTGATCATCTTCTCCTGCATGCTGGCCATCTTTTTCTTGCAAGTTGATCGATCGATCGATCGAGCTAGTTCTTGCTGATCACTTGATTAGGTATACGAGTTGTGATGAGCTTACGAGCTAAGCTATAAGCTAAGGTTGCAGTGTGCGTCGTCGGCCGTGGTGTGCGTTTGGCTACGACGATCTCGTGGCCCTTTTATAGACGCAGTGGATGGTTGGTAGAATTCCAACTAACTAAACCGAGCTGAGTCCTTGATGCGTGGAGAAACTAGCTAACACTGTTAGCCTAACAGAGGTTTCTGCCACCGGATTTGAACGGTGTCTTGTTTTTCATACATGGCCACTTTTGAAAGTCTCTTCTGTCCGTTTTAGTGTTAAGTCTTGCCATTTCGGTGTACTTTCATACCTTTTTTATTTCCCACGTTTCAGCGAACTTTTGTTTGGAGATCGCAGCGGCAGTGTTAGCACGTACAGAATGGATCTGTCTCCATCCGTCTGTTCAGTGGAGTGTGGATTTCAAATTCTCCAGGTGAGGTCCACCAATTATTTGCAATTTAAATAGTTATATTTATGAAAAAAGATGTATTTAAATGTGATATATTACTCCACAAACATGCAAGTTCAAGTTTTACTTTTATGAGTCGTAATAAAAAATAAATTAAATTTATTCATAGTCCAATTTGTTTTTTTTCCATTACAACATGTAGAAGTTAAATTTGATCTTACATGTTTGTAGACTGATCTACCACATATTAAACCATCTTGTTGAATTCTTTAAAAAAAATTTGTAACTATTTAAGTGACACATGCAAATAATGAGAGAATATATCTTCGAGAGTTTAGAATAGTTTTCTCTTCTGTATACTTATGAAAGTGATGCTTAATTATTGTTCCTAAAGAGGATTCAGCGGTTACTACTGCAGTAGTGCAGTATTCCCAGTCCCTTTCAACTCTTTAACATTCAGAAGTAGTTCAAGGAATCGTACGTTGACGGAGTAATAAAGAAAGGTTTAATCATTATTGCCGATTAATTAGATGAAAAAGATGGATTTTAGTTTTATTTTTTGGCAAAAGAGTGATGGATTTCAAATGTGAACATTAATAATGCCGATCGATTTATTGTGATATTCTTGTATGAAAATCTTTTGAAATAAACTACTACTCCTACCAGAGATCTATGTTGTGCTGTAGACATATCCTGATCTGGTTTGTTGCGCGTACGTGTTTGCTGGATGTGCTTGTACTGGAGCTCAATTTGAAGGAAGAGAAACAGAGCTTCATTCTTTATATTAGTGATCTAAGTTTATTAATTGTCTTAATGTTTGTTTTTTGTTTGGTATAGAGAAAAAGAGAGAAGAATATATTGCTCAGATTGAAAAGAGAGAAGCTAGGTTGTTAATTAAGTGCAGGTTTGAAAATAGGCCTGTTGTTGGAGATACCAGGGTTTGCTTTCGAACACATGGATTTTACAGGATTTAATTTGAGTTCAGCTTAGATCCTTTATTCCAAAAAAAAAACAAATTAACATCAACTCAACTCTGGTAGACGAAATCACCACAGCTCTTTAACTATATTATGAAGTAACACATACAAACATTTTAAAGCCTACACAAAATATTACATCATCTATAATTTATTACATTAAAGAGCATACATGATAGCACGAGTATCAAATTATTATCTCACATCATTTTTATAATATTCAAATATGTTTTATCTATTATTTTTTAAATATTTAATATACATATATCTATGTATTCCGCAACAAAGTGTACGTGGGGCATCACCTAACTAGTTTATCATATTAGCTCGCATCCCCACTATATTATATACAGTGGTATACTATGAACTGCTGATGATGTCAAAGTGGGCAGACAAACGAAATTCATGTTTTAGAGTAGTAAAGATTAGGTTTTTTAGAAACACAGTATAAACACATTGAGATTGACGAAATCACCACAGACACCTCACTATCGAGGGTACGTCGTCTACCACTGAAAGAATAATCAGCCATAAATACGATCACCTATGTTACATCTAGGATTTGAAGGATTTGAAGTTGGTTCCATCATAAGAAACCTAACCAGTTGAGCTACACTCACTTCGTAACTAGTAGAGATTAGTTATTGTACAAAAATCTAATTGACCGATATTTAAAAACTCATATATATCAGTTATATTGATTGAAACTTAATTGTTGTTAAGTATAAGTTGACCGCGTACACACCATGCATCCACCATCCTAGCACCTATCTAAATGATATTCATAGGAGGTCAAGACTCACGTAGCACAGGTATGTATGTATTTTATCATCGAACACATCGACCTAGGAAAAAAACACTTGAAAATACGATATTTAATGATATGTCATGCTCATATATACCAAATTACTGATCGGTATATACTTGAAACATTTGACGTTTAAAGTATGGGTATAAACTCTTTAAGAATGGCAGAAAACCTCCGGTAATAATTAATTATGCTTTTTACAGGATAAATGCCTACTCTCAATCCGGCCAGACACCCCTTCTCCCTCTCTCTCTCTCTCTCTGCATGCTGAGAATATATAATAGAGAGTAGTGTATCACGTGGTTGTATAAGAGATGAAATTGTGTACAGTGTTGTAATATTAAATAGTATGCTTCAATTCAATCTTTGACCCGATAAAATCTATATTCAACTGTTCGATCATTTTTCTAGTAATTTCAAATATGCACATACCACTCTCCTTTTTATTGGACCACATGAACAAATCGACAAAAGTTCAGGTTCCTGATTACACCACACGTTTCTAGAGTACAAGAACGAGGTCATTCGCAGTTTCTTCGGAGACCTTCCGATAATAACGAGGTTGTTAAAGTTATTATATATTATTTCTTGAGGAGAAAACTATCAGTTTATTGTAGTCGTATACTTCCTCCGTATAAAAAACCAATCTTGGGTTTGAACATGTATGTCCAGATTCAAACCCAGGATAAGTTTTTTTTTTTACGTAGAGAGCATGTAGGAGTAGCTAGCAGTTAACGGTTTTTTCATATATATTGAGGGGTTTTTAGACGATTTGCATATTGAGTTGTGATGCAAATTTATTTGCACATAATAAATATGGATTGTTATACTTTAGGGTTTTACCTTTATATATACTTTTTGTAAGCCGTCGTTCGGCGTACCTCACCCCGATATAGTGAAGATATTTTGCTGGCTGGCGCCAGTGTTTTTTTTTCTCCTACTTTGGGAGGGTTTTTCCACGTTAAATCTCATGTCTTCTGAGATTGATCTATTGTTTTTTATCGTTTATTTGCCTATCGTTTCCTAACCTTTCATATAACCTTTTATTTCCTCCTACTCGTATGACTGCAAAGTGGTAGGAGCTTTTTAAATTTATGCGTGTGATGGAATAAGATTATATATAGAAGTTTATTTAATTAAGTATCATAAGAATTTAGTTATAGGGATTGGGTGGGTGGACGATTCACATAGATCATACGACAACAAAGGGTAAAACTAACGAATGTTTCTAGTTAATTAAAATTAATAAGGGCAGCGTTGGCGGGCTAATTACCAATGCAATTTACCATGCAGCTGTAGGTTCTCTTCCTCCTTTACTTTCGGTGTATATATAGAACTACCTCCATTCCAATATAAGTATTGTAGTTGTGGTGACCGTCGGTCTTATTTAAAAAAAAATTATGATTAGTATTTTTATTATTATTATATGATTAGTACTTTATGAGTGACTATTTTTTAATTTTTTTCATAATTTTTTCAAATAAAACGGACAGTTAGGATGAAGGTAGTATACAGTAGTAGACTACTAGCTAGGCTGAAGTATAGGTTGTCTCTGTGTTCGTTTGGATGTGGGAACAAATTTTCTGCGCACGGAAAACGGAGCAGTTTATTAGTGCGTGATTAATTAAGTATTAGCTATTTTTTAAAAAAAGATAAATATAATTTTTAAGCCACTTTAGTATAGAAACTTTTTATAAAAAAAAATACACCGTTCAACACAGTTTGAAAAGTGTGCGCGTGAAACAGGAGGGAGAGAAGTTATCTGCCGAAACAGAGTTTGTTTTGGAAAATGGTAGCGGTCTTTCTCCGTCCTATGATTTCCCATGTCATAAGGACAGGACTGTCATGTACTACTAGCAAAGTAAGTAGCTTCTTGACACTCCCTTCCTCCAACTTGCAAGCTTTTGGTCTTATACGGGGAGCCTCTGACAGATGTAGCTTTTCGAATATTCAGCTGTCAGAAGCTTTGCTAAACCATCCAAATCTTTACTTATATTTCAAGGGCTTCTTCGGATTGAGAGATTTTTAGAGGATTTTCAGAGGAATACTGTAGATAGAAAATATTTCCTTCCCTTATCGTTCGGTTCACATGAATCAATCCAAAGGAAAATAAGAGGAAGCATTCCTTTCCTGAGCAATCAATAGAGAAACAAAGGGAAATTTACATCCACTCCTACTCATCCACTCCTATTTCATTTTTTCCATTTCCTACTTTTTTTTCTGTCTATCCGAACACATGTTTATCAATCCTATCTACAGAATTCCTGTGTTTTTCAATCCTCTGTTTTACACATGCATTCCTATCATATTTCTATGATTTTCCTATTCCTACGTTTTTATAATCCCGTGATCCGAATAAGCCCTAAAAGAACTGTAGTCGTAGAATCTAGAAGCTAGGTTTGCCGGCTTCTCCAGATTCTCATCGGTTAGCTTTTCCATCAACTGCTTCTCACAGTATTAATGTTTCTAAATAGGACCTTTGACTGGCAGATCCGGTACTGTGGATGGCATGTGCAAAGCTGCACATTGTAGCCGATTACAGTGAAGCCGTCTCTTGACCGCGAGGCCCAAATTCGCTTGGCCGTTCTGCACACGACCACTAGGGTGATTAGGTGTAGTAGACCACAGATTCTCCGTGGTGGCTCGGTAAAGTAAACAGATGCCCTGTCGCGTATATATGATATAGAATTTGAGCCCGGAACATTTCTTTTCGCACGTAATCTACTTAATTACCAGCTCACATATCACGCACTTCAAGTGTACATAATATAGATATGCTATTACTATTCCCGGCAGGGTTGTTCCTAACAAATTGGGTGCCATGTACAAAATGTAAAAATAAAACATTATCTTTAAAGAAACTACATTAATTGTATAACAGACCATGACTATATA